AATTCAATGGACCTATTCCCACAACTTAATTTAATGCATGGCTGCAAAATTCATTAAAAATTCTTATGTTTTACTGATTAGGATTAACCTTTTAAGCTGCAAACATTATTTTTAATGGGTTTGACATAGAAATGTTGCATCAACTTAATATTGTGTGTAAATTAAACTCAAATTTCTGCATTAGTTGATTTAAAACTAAATTCAGGTTGAGGTAACTTAATGAAATGGGCTTGATTACTTGAGTTCAAGAATTCATTTTAGAATGTCTGAACTTGTGAGACAAATTTGTGAATCTAGTCTTGTTTTTCTATTAATGAGCACTTCAGCACAGCCGCTGTTGATTTAAATGTGCAGTTTAAATAATGGTGACTTAACTTGACAGTGTACCTTATGTTTATTTTTTGTTTGTTGCTTGTTCGGATGTTTTGCTGCGGCAAAAACTGTTTCTTAACTTAAATCACTTTTGAAACCCCTCTTTTCCACAAATGGTCATTTAAGTGAGTCTTTTAATCAGTTTAGCTTGACAGTTTTAGATTTTCTTTTCTTGTACTGTTTGTGGTTTGTCTTATTCAGCTAATAGTGTTTCAAATTTTGTAAAACAGTGTCTGATTTTGTCCGTCTGACACGCTGTATAGGCTCGATAGAATAAATATGTTTGTTGTGATTATTATTTTGGAAGTGAAAATATCTATTTCTACACTTCAATGAACATTTTCACTGATGTTAACTGTTTATACGACTAGCTGTCACAAATGTCAAATTAGGGACAATAATGTTTATTCAGAATCTGTTGTTTCTCCATCAGTGGTCCGGCCTATTCAGTTCTTTAGCTGATTACGTCTAGATGTAGTTTTTGTTGTTGATTCATCTGTAGATTAGTTTAGTTGTTGCACACAATGTCAGTTTACTGTCGTAGAGGAGCAAAGAAACAGGAAATCTTACATTTAGACTTTTTTTTCTTATTAAATTACTCAAACCAGTAATCAGTTATGAACACAGTTGGGCTGGGTTCTTGTATTTTTTTTTTAAATGTAAAGTACCCCTGTCAGTCTGGGTGGTCTGAGTTACGAGCAGCCACTGAAGGCAGCATCAGGGTCCCACTCGCTCCCTCGCGCAGCCCTAACATGACGTCACGGGCCGCTTCAAGCGCCCTGCTTTCTCCAACATCCTTGAAGGCGCTGGTCGGTTTCCATGGAGACTCCCGGTAAAGAGTCATCTACCGCCACCGAGCGACCAATCAGAGACACGTCAGCTGGCCCGATATGAGTCAGAAAATTCAGATTGTTATTACTGTTATTAGTTAATGAAAAACTAAAGTGAGCTCATACATTATGGTACAAGTTTAAGATAATGTAAGATCATGAGGTAATCCCCAATATTAAGTAAAAGGAATAAAAGCAGACACACCTTTATTTGCTGCATAGTTAAATCAATGTACATATTAATGCCCCCCCAAAAATCCAATACAGTATTCATTATTCTGAAAGGTAATTTTTTTTTTACTTTTAATACGCAGTATATTTTCACTTTTGTCCTTTTACTTCAATAAAATACAGAATGTATGACTTGTTTGATTATTAGAGTGTTTCTACACTGTACTACTGTTAGTTTTATTTGAATTAAAGATCTGTACAATCAGTCCACGACTGAGTTCAACACTAACAAACCAACTTTACTCAGATTATCTGACCTTTGACATTGGTTGGAATATCACGGTCACATGAAGGTCACTGATCTGATCGTATTTATTGTGGTCAGGTTCAATCATTTGGTCATTTATCCTCATTTATATGGATGACTATAATAACAATAATGACCTTTATTTCTATTAAACCTTTAAAAGATGCCTTACAAAACAAAAGCAACAACAAGAAAAGACAATAAAACAATTCAAAAGGGATGAAATATTAGGAAAGATTTCATAAATTATTATACAAATGCCTGTAGAGGTGGGTTTTAGAAGCTTCTTACACTGACTGAGCTGTCTTGACAGAAAACTAAACACAAAGTAAAGGACTGTTGGATTTCTAACACCAGCTGGCTCTCTGATCTGAGGGGTCTCGGTGCAGAACTACAACTTGAGCCGTGAAGCCAGACCATGTAGAAATTTAAAAGCAATCAAGAGGATCATAATTGAATCCTGTAAATAATGGAAAGTCATTACTGGAGTATGGCTAAAAGGAAGCAGCTCTTTGGCTGCAAAAACTCTGCAGTGGGGGAAAATTAAAGAATTTATCACAGGCAGGTGGAGGGTTTGGGGGCACTTGGGCTCCTCCTGAGCTCCACCTCCTGCACCTACAACTCTCTGTGCATTATAGATATATATGCAACAGTGGATCCAAAACATCAGATATATATAGCAGCTTCATTATTTATCCATGAAAACATTAAAACAAACCAGCCCACATGGTGCAACTCCAACAAAACAAAGTCACAAACTGAGCTAATAATTGCAGGACCTGCACTCCTTGATGTTGTAGCTCACTGTTGCAAATTCCCACCGAAGTTTGAGATAATTTAAATGATCCAAACTGACTATGGTGCAGTTAACTGAGGACATCCAAGGGAGGCTCTGGGTCATAATCCAGCCTTGATCAATGCTCTGCCTTCCTCCATCTCTGTTTTAATGCTTCTACTTTCATGTTTCCTGGAAGCAGCCTTAACATCACTTCAGAAAACTAACCGGTAATCAAATCATGCTAATCCAATTTCACCACAAACCAAGCAAAAGCCTTAATCAAACAATGCTGATTTTGTTATTTACTGTATAATGTTGTTACAGCGATCATCCATGCATGTAACCGTTCACAGCTGCCCTACAGTGAAGACACACAGGTTTATTTTCCAGCACTTTTTCATGGCAGATGAAACTATTTCACCCTGTTTTTCTACAATCTTAGAAACATCCAGCGAGCCTGTGCATTTTATTATGCTCCCTGCATCCTCAGGCTACGCTAAATTAATCAAATCCTATATTCCTGCCCACCAGCATAACGAATAAATACAGCATAATCTTGTAAAAATGTGAAAGAAATAGCAAAAGTCTATGTGAATCTCATTCTCTGTCAAAGCTAGGTCCCCCCAATATGCCTATGCTCAGTGGTTTTTAGCAATTTGATTAATTTCCTGTCAACTGAAGGCGTAGAATCATTAGATTTCTCTCTGATATAACACTGTGAGGTCTTGATCTTAGTATGTGAAATGCCCTGAGATGCCTCATGTTGTGATTTGGCGCTTTATACATAAAACTGAACTGAAGTGAGTTCATGTCAGGCTTTTATATTCACAAAATCAAGTTATGTCAAATTAAATTACTACAAACTGCACCAGAAAACGGAAGCCTGAGAGTTTTCTATTGAATGTCTGCATGAGGTTCTATGTGGGCTGCTGTGTTGTGGCACTGCAGCATTTACTGACAAAATGCTACATGTGCTATCAGCTCAAAATCTAACGTCAGTGAGTAGTGTAGAGGCTGCAAGTTTAATTTCATCTTTCATTGCTTTTAGCCATTAACATTAAGGGCGCTGAGCCTTTCCCATTTGGATTTATCCACCGTAAGCCTTTGAAAACATGTGTTTATTACCGGCACTGCTTACCAGGCTGTTTGTGCAGGTGAGATTATGTTTACTTGCTGCACACAGATGTTTAATTTGATTTTATCTGAGCAGAAGCTGACACTCTGCTGATCAAGGCTTATAAGCACACCTAGTTATGGACAAAGGCTGCAGCTGTTGGTGGAGGTTTGTCAGATGCTGAAGTGATGTTCTGTTTCATCCAGTTTCTGTTTTTGCTGTAATCAATTTGCTCAGTGTGACTGAAGACAGAAAGTTGGGATCAGTCAGTGTAACGGCCAGATTTAATAACTTTGTTCATAATTTTGAAACATCACATGGGTCTCTAAACTGTCTTTTTTTTTTTTGCTTTGCAGATTTAACAAAGTCTCTCTGTTGAACAGATTTGATTAAAATTTCGAATCAGTTACAGCCAAAACATGTGCGCTTCATGTTTTCAGTTGGTTTCATGGACATATTTGAGATGCACATGATTCCCTAAAAATCCTCCAAATACACAGATATTCATATTTTTAACCAGTTTTTAAAGTGCAGAAAGTTTAAACAGAAATCTTGCTGAAACACACATCCACTAAGAAAGTCCAGGGGCTCCAAAATTTATTGAAATAAATTATTTTTTTCATGGATGTGAAGAAGTGCCACATGTATATTTAATATGCAGCTCCCCAAACAAAAGACATAAAAGGGGGCAGAAGAGTAAATCCAGCCTAAATGTGTGTTGACTTAGCAGGGATGAGAAAAGTTGATCTGTGGGAGGAAACATATTTGAAATCAAATATTTTATAAACCCTTAATTATCACTTCCTGCTATTTGCTTCCTGACTTAGTGCATAACTGGTGCACCATTCCCCACGCTGCAGGAGACCTACTGGACCAGGGTGCTCATATATATTGTGTAACTGTTTACCTTGATTTAGTTTGCACTCTAAAACTACTACTGTGGTCACTTCACCACTGCCAGAGTAACTTTATCCAAACCAAGCTTACAAATGCACAGAGCACTTTAAGCTGTCAGTTCAGAACTGCTTATTTATTCAGAATTGTTTCAGTTTTTTCATGCATTGTGTAGATTTTGGTTAAGGAGGAGCAGCAAAGTACGGATTTCACTGTACAGAATACTTGCACAGATTAAAGAAAAATGCTATTGCACAGCCACCATAAACTCGTGCAGAAGGTGCATGAGAGTTCCAGAAGTGGACTCAACCAGCCTCCAAGTTAACGTGTCCCCTCTAGACCTCAGATAAACGCTGCGGGTGCAGGATGAGTCCCGCCTCTCTGTGGCCTCCGTGAACTGTGCTGGGGTGACGTGAGCGCGCATGCTCGTACTGGGCGGGCCAGACGCTGCTGGTGACCCACAACTGGGCAAAGTTTTCACTACTGTAGTAAAGTTGACCAGGAGGCTGCTGCTGCTGCTGCTTAGTGGAAGAACAAGAAGAAGGAAAAGAAGAAGAAGAAGAAGAAAGGGGGAAACTGGGAGCTGAGTGTATTTTACAAGACTCTGAGTTTCTGTGTCTCTTTCGCCACTTTGAACGTAAAAAAGTCGCGGCGTTGTGTTGAAATCAGCATTTTAGCGCTCGGATTCTGCTGGAAACAACTGCCTTTGGGATCCATTTCACACAAAGATGGGACGTTTCCTCTGAAGGAGGCTCGTTTGGTGGATTTGGGTGAGTTAGACCATCTAGTTATCTCACTTTTCTCATGTAAAAAGAGGAACAAAATGGAGATGTTCCGTTTGACTGGAGCCGTTTCGGTATCGCTGGGGTTTTTTTTTCAGTTGCTGGTCACCTCATTTACAACTAAAATCGTTATCGCTTCTTTGAATCAAAGCGGTTTATGTGTGGAGCGGTTCTGGATAATCCGGTTTTGCTGCCTTTTGGTTACCGGACGGTGAGCTGGCGGCTACGTGACAACCATTAACTATGTTCGTGGGGGATGTATTCCGCTGTTTAAACCCGCTCGGCTTTTAAAATGCGGCAGCGTTTGGCTTTTAAAGTTGCCGACGATTTAGTGTTTTCCACAAATATGTCAATAGATATTAGAATTTAAACCGGAGCCGCCGCTGATACCGCACAGACGTTCCGCGCCAAGGATTTCAAAAACAGTTTACCTGCGCGGGACATACTTCACTTCCTGTACGCCGCCTGACGCTGCGCTCTGATTGGGTGCTTTGCGCAGAAAGGGCGGGACCTGTGCGGCCGTTGAGCCCGGCGATTCGACAGAACGCCCGTCTGTTACCGCCAATATGAATCCCGTGTTTTGATTAGTTTCTAACAGATTTTTTTTCAAAATTAACAACTTGTAAACTAAGAGAATAGTCTAAACTGACCGGCACGATTTTATTTACCTCAAAATTGTCGCTCTAGTTTAAAAATGTTGGTTCCCCACAAATATGTGTCTCTTAAAAAGCGGTAAGACTGTCTCTTTTAACATATTTTGCTCAAATAGCGTTGATTTACGTAGCAGTGAGTTAAATAAATGAGCATGTTTTAATATAGGAGAAAAAAAATCAATTGAAAGTCTTTTTAGATGAGCTAGTAGGAGCTAATAGTTGTTTTTTACTTCACTTAATGCTGTTATTGCATATTAATTGCCTAGATAACTTTAGCTTATATGACCCGTATTAAACTCTAAGGTGGAGGAGGGAATTTGAAGATCAAAACCTGACTCAGAATTCTCACTCAAAGGTCAGTAAGTACAGAGGAACCTAAAAGTGTCTCAGATCTAACTTGTTTTCTGCATATCTGTGACTAATCCCACTATATTTGATTAATAATAGTCTTTTTTCCCCCCTTTCTTACTAGGATGGTGGTTTTGTTGCACCCTGGGTTCCTGTAAATACTCTGAAATTACCCAGCTTGTGTGCAGTGTCAGCGGAGAACACACTCACCATGGGTCCCCTCACCACACCTAAAAAAGGAAGGGAAGCGGGCGCAGTCGATCCCTGGACTCCGACCTCCAACCTAAAAATGCTCATCAGTGCTGCTAGTCCTGAGATCAGGAACAGGGAGAAGGAGCTGTGCATGGACAACGACGGACGGGAAGGACTTGACCCAACGCAGGTACAAATAACATTCTGGCAGCGACACGATAAGCGTTTTCTGATAAGTCGAGGTGTTCAAATGGATGTTTTTTCTCATCTGTTGTTTTCATGCAGGACTCTGAAAATGGAGAAGAGTCGGAGAAAATGATCAGCAGAAAAGAGAAGAGTCTGGGACTGCTTTGTCATAAATTTCTCGCCCGCTACCCAGATTACCCAAACCCAGCCGTCAACAACGACATCTGCCTCGATGACGTGGCCACTGAGCTCAGTAAGTCTTATGAGCCAACTCTGTGTCTCTTTAACTAAAAACAGTCTTACGGTGTCCATCCCTTAAGATCACAGGACATGTCAGACACGTGTTACTCACTGCTGCTCATGGTTACTTAAGTTGTTTTTGTCTAATAATACTTGTAATCATTCTCTGTGCATTTTATTTGCTCCTGTCACATTTTCCCTCTCTGTGGGCTCATTTTTCACTGTCTTGCACCTCCAATGGAAACAGCATGATCACAGCTAGAAGCAGAGAGAACCGCACAGTTGGAAATTCTGACTGAAATTCAAAAATAAGTTTACAGTTGAATCTCTTAGATTATTTATTTTTGCAAAGATTGAAACAAAAACATGTTT